CAATTGGAATATACTTTGTTACTCTTCGCCATGTCATCCGAAGCAGAAGATTAACCGTACCTCAAAATCAGCTCATTGCTCTTCCAAATCTACAAAAAGATAGCTTTAAATACCTCAGGTAAGAAATTAAGGAACAGCCACATGTAGAAAATGCCATACGAATCGAAGGTGAGGTACAAGCAATTCATAGAATAATAGTGAGACCCTATCAAGCGTCGTCCATAAGAACCACCGAATCGCAAGTGGGATCAGAAGAAATGTCCTCTGAAATTAAAAAAATTACAGAAAACCCCGCCAACTTGTCATCCAGAGGAATCGATGAGCAGAACACAGAAACAGGAGAAACTCCCTCTGTTCAGCCCAAAGTCACAGGATACACCTATCAAACACAGGCCGATCTGAGAAATAAGAAAATATGGAGCACCATTGTTCTCCTCGGATTATTATTGATATTTCTACTTTTGTTCACTGGTCCATTTTTTATCTTTATTTTCTTTTTCAATAAAGTTTCTTCTAATTTTGCTGCTATTGCAGCTTTCTTCTGGGGAATAAATTCAATGATTAACCCAGTGTTATACAGCGTGAAAAGTCTAAGTGTACGTTGTACTGTAAAGGAAATTCTATGTTGTTAATCCTAAAAGAGAACATTCATCACAAATGTACGTACCAGTTGTGTGTTTGATAACTGAAATATAAAAAAATTCTTGATTTTGTAAACACAAATACAATGTAAATACATTTAATTTGAAAAACGAAGATCAGCAGTCTGGTGATTTGTGGGTGTTTTCTTTTTCTCCTGTTTATTTAAACAATAAAATGCTTTCTTTGTTTGTTATTACTGGAATTAATGGAAGCAGCTGTTGCAGAAAAAATACATAACCCGCGTAAGCGGGTTATGTAAATTTTTTCTGCAATAGCTGCGACCGTTAATTCCAGTAATAACAAACAAAGACATTTTATTGTTTATATTTATATCTGTTTAAATAATCGTTTAAAGTAGGATTAAAAAGTTTAATTATTGTATTAATGATGCGAACGTCTTTATACGTTTCATTGATGGAACAGCCACTGATCAAGAAATCGGTACAGGCGGCATGCACTGTAGTTCATGCATTGATTAACGCAATGGGTTTTCTTAAGAAATAAAGGAGAAAATATTCAGCGAATGTAAATATACTTACATAATTCATGGTATTAAATTTTATTTATGTTTTTTTTTAACATATTAATGTAGAATTTTATTCTAAAATAATTTCTAAAAACAGATTACAAATATAAAAATAACAAATACGATATTTGAAAATAATAGTATATGTGTTTGTCAATTCTTAAATGCCAGTTCGTAAATGAAAATGATGTCGTCATGCTCTCAGTGTTTTATTTATAAAAATTGCGTATTATATAATAAAACAATTATGGATCTTCCTGGTGTTGAATATGGTTCAATATTGGTCAATTTTGAAAATTCCACAATCCTAAATCGTGATCATATTCTTCTTCACTCTATAACTATGGTCCTAGCTGATGGATACGTAATTACTGGTGATGTACGTATAGTTTATATTCAGAACCTTAGAGTACACATTTTAAAAGGTCCTCAATATATAGCGAAACCGAATCCTTCAACTGGCGTCGGAATTTCATTTATATCATGGATTCTGTAGAAGATTACTCCAGTCGATTGGCAAGATATGAAAAAGAAAACGTTGACACTTTGTCAGAATGGATTAAATGTATCAGATCTATGGTACAATCGCGCATAAAGGATTGAGGGGCAATAAGAAAACCATCTACTAGTATCCTTCCGTATTCAATAATCCAGAAGTGAAAAAGGAATTAGATGGATTACACGTTCAGTACGTACTTTTCCTTGCAGACAAATCAGGTGGCAGTATTGTCTCTGGTAGCAAAGCTTATTTTTAAAATCATATTTTAGAAGTATTTAATTTTAATTTAGAAGTGGTAATCCAGCCTGTACTCAAAGTTCCCTTTCTAAGGAAGAAATCATTCAAACTATTATTTCAAATATTACAAACAACTAAAATGAGTTGAATTTCTAAATCTGTACTGGATTCTTAAACTTCATAAAAATCCTTTCAAACAAGATAGCGGGTTCCAGTAAATGTTCAACGAAGTCTCTTTCTTTACTCCTCACTTATATATTAAGAGTAGAGAAAGAGAAACTTGAAGAATACTGTGCAACTATATATTCGAGAAGTGGTGTAAATCAGATGTGGATACTAAAAAAATTCCATTTCTTTTATTTACCAAAATCAACAGCTTAAAACTTCAAATAAAACTGACAGCTGCTTTTTCAATAAAAATAAATAAACTCGTAAATTAAAGAAACAGGTTGACTAATGTCCTTTTTTGGCTGAGTGAATTTCTGAAAAAAACTTAAACTGCTTAGTTAGAATTATGTATCCTTTAGACTTTTGGAGATTGCATGTCTATCAAAAAAGAATTAATTTTCTGGCTGTCAGGAAATGCGTCAATTTCGGAAAAGTCTACAAAAACAAACAATTTTAAAATCTTTTTTTCCCCAAATTTATCATAGAGCGCAACCTCTGATCTAAAATTACCAACTAGTCAATAATAGAACTGCTTCTGAGGATTACAAGGTATGTTTATTTTTTTAGATTAGAGAGTTCGCTCATATTTTTTTCTTCTCTTAAGTACTCAAATAAACCTTTTAACACTAAAATTCAAGAATATTGCAACTCCATAAAACCTGGGTTCCAAGACCTGGAATTTGAGGAGAAAGATTTTAATAAGAAATGAATGTACTATGTCTCTACTTTATTTAGATGTTTTGATGGAACATAACGTGCTAGTAAATAAATTTCTATATCTACAGGTCCGTTTTATGTATAAAGTGAACCGAGCTCTTAACTTATTTTGTCATTGATCACTTGCAAAATTCTTTCAATTTCATTTTTGTGTTTCCCATTCTAATGTCCATACGATATATCCCGGTAAGCTTAAGATAAAACATACCACAGAGCCTGACACATATGTTTCATATCTGGATATTTTATTTGGAAAAGACGCTACTGCTAATCAAGCTATATAGGGAAAACATTGTTATATGACAATACAATACGTCTTCGATAAATCTATCTTCAATATATATCCATGTTTCATCTAAGGGCGCACTTGATTTGTCTTCATTATACTTCAACCGGTGTAGATGATTTTCACCTTATAAATCAAATGAAATTGAGTGTAGTGTAGCATTTCCAACATGGTCGTCAAAATTGCAACAAGCTGAGGGGATCTTTTTTGCTGAAGATTTCTGAAGATAGATTACTGATATTCTTGTGCCATCAACTTGTTTGTCAATAATTTATCTAGTTTTAGAAATTGTACATCCGTAGAGCATGCTCTTGTGTATCGAATCAACTCAGAGATATAAACCCCGTATGCAGGTAATGAAGGCATATTGCTGCATACGTAAGGAACGTTGACGATTGAAAAGTTAAAGTCATCACATTTATCATATTCACAATCGGAATTCATAACCAAAAACTTTGTTTTACGTTTTGTATTTATGTCGTACGCACGCCTATATTGTGGAGCAGTTCAAATAGCAACTTTTTTTAAATTATGATTTTTTAAAAAATATTTGATGAGAAATGAAAAACAAATCTAGATATATGCCAACCACTTAGACTGATTATTAGGCAAACCTTTAAAACCTTCTTTCTTACTTTCATGTTTGCTGTCTATGAAATGTGGCATATTGTGAACCATTAATAGATCGTTCGCTTTTGTGGACAATAATAAGAACACATTGTCTTACAGTGTGAAAAAAAAATCATTTTGTCATTTGATGAATCCTAAAAAAAATGATGCTATTAGTATAAAAGACAACTATAAAACTACAGATCTTTTATTCTGACTCCCAAAGACATAGAGATCATTATGGCATCACACCTTTGATATGTCGCGGATCGGATGTTGCTTTTCTTAGTACAGTCACGATAATTAGTCCTTTTATGCAATGATACGATGCAATAATATGGCGAAGGTTTTATTATGTCTTATATCAAATTTTTAAACAACTGCTTTTACTTCGCCTTTGCCAAATTATAACATATCATTTCACCCTGTTAATAGTATTATAGATAATGTAAAACAGGAATACTTATCGGCAGAATGTATGTGCAGAAAGGTAAGCTGGAAAAAGTAGCAGGAAAATCTACCTGCTAATTAAAAAGATTCCAGGGGTAGCAAAAGAGCAATGCTGAAAAACAGCGGACACATGTGTAGTGTCAGGGCTTCCACAGAAAAGATATATTAAGTTTTGATAATTGATAATAAAACAAACTGTGCTCCCGTATGTCAGCTTATTGCGAGGCTTGAAATTTCTCAGATGCAAGTCAAACTTCAAAGGTCAAAAAGTCTAAGTTGTTGGTATCTAAAGGAAGATCTTTTCATAAGGCATAAACCTGTGAAATGTTAAAACACTGGTACAAACTATTAAAAAGTTATGGCCAAGGATAAATTAAAAAAATATATAAGGTCAAACTCTAAGATCAAGCACAAAAGGTAAAAATATGTCTATACCCTTGAAGGTTCTTGTCACAATGAATACACATGAGAAGTATGAAAGCCCTAGATAAAAGTTTGGGTTTTTTTTTTTTGGAAAAGTAGGTCAAACTCCAAGAGGTCATATTTGGTTGTACCCAAAGAAAGGTGTTTTCTTAAACAACACCTTTTTTTTGGTTTCTAAATAATTGTCCTTTTAAATATGACATTAGAGTTTGATCCGCTTATAAAAAAAACTTTAACCTTGGCCATAACTTTTGAAACGATAGCAGTAGGGTTTCATATTTTACAGGTGTATTCCATATGAGAAGTCTTTCCTTTTGATACCAACAATTTTTTCCCTTTTCACCTTGCCCTTGAAGTCTAACTTGCACTTAAGAAACTTCAACACTTGACATAATTATCTCTTGACTTTGGTGTTTGACTTGCATTGAAGAAACGTTTGCCTCCGCCAAAAGCTGCCATTCGGGGGCATTAGTTTTTATACAGTTTAAACATGATAATATAAGTGAAGGTAAAATCAATTACAAACATTGAGGTAAGATTCTTGTAAAAATATTGTGTAATGTAACTTTACCACTAAATCTTTTATACATAAATCATTATTATATTTTAAAAAGGATTTATCTGAATGCTACGTGTATTTTTTTATATAGTTGTAGTGAGATTACATCTCATCTGCATTAAATGTCACGATATTATGAAAATAAAGTCTAACAATTCATATAATTACATATCTATAAGTTATTTCCATTTCATTGCAGTGAGGTTCATAATTAAAACATCCAAAGCTTTACTTGATATATTCATACACATATCTAATGAATTTAACAGAAACAAAAGTTTGTTCATAATTAATTGTTTTAACGTATTTCAGTTCTACGTGAAGATGAACAAAGTTCGTAAATATCATTTTGCAGTATTAAAATAAAACTACAGACAGAATGCAATGAAAGTGCAGTGGTACCGGAAACTCTGCAAATGAGCACGTGCAATAATCAGACAGTCTGACCCTGCTTTCCTTGTTAGATAAAGTGTGACGTTGCAGGTGATGATGTTAAATCTTATAATTCTGATATCGTTATTTTGTGAGTCACATGCACTGTTTGTCACAATAGAAACTCGGGCAGGGGCGGTACGGGGATTCCGTATCCCTTCCAGCTCCGGGGGATCGCTGGATATTTACTTAGGGATACCTTTTGCTGAGGCCCCAATAGGTAGTCTTCGGTTTGCACCACCGGTAGAGAAGAGAAGTTGGAGACCAAGGATTTTGAATGCAACGAAATTTGGACCCGCTTGTTCTCAGCCACTCAGACCCCTGCAGTAAGATACTAAACATTCAGTAATTATTAAATAGTACTGTTAGCTACTGAGTATATAGATGAAATTTAAAAGAATTATCCTTACAGGTTATGTGATTTCGGATGTCCACACAAAACCATAACATAAGTCGCGTTTTAATTGTTGGACTCGAAAGTTCTATTTTATTTGGTCCCTGTCTAGGACTGGAACCAATCAGAAACAGCTTTGTAATTGATTATGACGTCCTAAAAATGAAAAGTATTAAAATTGTAAGACTGTTGACTAGTTACTTTAAAGGAAACATCATAGATTTATCCTTGGCAGTTTGTCCTCCTTACAATCACACAAAACATTCCCTGGAGTTGATAAATTTGAAAATGACGGAATTGAAAAGTATATTCTCCTTGATTAGTTTATAGCTACCTATTACGTCATGTGTTACCGCACAAGCCCATCTTTTATATATTCATATATATATATATATATATATATATATATATATATATATATATATATATATATATATATATATATATATATATATATATATATTAATTTAAAGGCGTTGTAAAAAAAAACCGCGAATATGGAAGGCCTTCAGAACAAATAGAAAGCTAGAGAAATTGGAGTAGTCGTTCAATCGAGCACGTACAGGATGATGCGACATACGGCCTCGGTAAATTGACAAATGATTGAATGTCCAAATTAAACTCTAATTTTTGCATTCAACTTATCACTGATATGTGTACACTAATGGAAAACTACTTTAAGCAAAAATAAAAATAATTTGGAAAATAAACATCTTCACTTGGGTTGGGGTATCCTGTTTTTCATTTCCATTGAATTTTGGCACCGCCTTACTCCCTTGAAATATATGGGTTGAAGGAGTTTTTTTTTCTCTTTTTGCTCGACACTGTATTTTATCGAAATTTAGTTTTTATGTAGAGGGAGAAAATTGCACCAATTGCGCTCACTTGTTATGTTTAAAATATTGTAAAATCTTGCTGGACTACCCCAGTGTAAACAAAACAGGAGGCAAGAGGCCACATCGCTCACCTGAGCAACTAGCTAGGTAAAAGCAAATCAGTTCAGTATTGAAAAGGGGATTTGAACAAACTTAAATCTACACTTCCAAAAATGCTTTTAAATCAATATGACACATAATGGCTTTGTTCTTAACTGTTATGATTCACTTTGATGTTGCTTTTAAATTGATGATAAATCATGGCTTTGTGAAGAATTTTAACGATTTTTCCATGTAATCCTATGTAAAATCTTGATACTCTATTTTGGCCCCACTTAACCCCTGGGGGTCATGGTTTGAACAAACTTGAAACTAAACTACCCAAGGATGCTTCCATATAAATATGACCAATCACAAATTTGCTGTTCTCAAGTTGAAGAATGTAGTATCCCAATTTTATGTGTCATTGAATGTAAGATCCCTTCTATCGCAGTAAAATTCTGAATTCTCAAATATTTTTTTAAAAGTATAGTTCCAGTTCTAAATATCGGATAGGTGGGAAAGATTGATAATTTTGTTCATTGTTTTGTTTGATGCAATATAAAGAGAAAGTTTTGTCAAATAAAACCATCAAGAAAATTGCCTTCTATATGAAAAGATTGGGTCATCCCTTCCCCAGATAATACCTGGCTGACATTTATATATATTTCTTAAATTCGCTGTAAATTCTGAAAAATTCCGATTTACTTATCGATTATAAATACATTCGGAGTTTTTCCGAGTTTATATAGAATTTTATATGCATGCAGCTAGCATACAAAAACGTGACAAGAGTACGAAGTTGCTTTGAATATTGAAGTGGTCAGTATTTGAGTGCATTTGTTTAGACTGATTAAATGTGAAGAAATTATTACGTCTTTGGTATTTTCTGCTTTTCTTTTTCGCAAGAAATTGATTTAAGGAATATTGCGATTACGTGCATGAGAATTAAAAAAATGTCCCGGAAAATCGTCAAAGTTTAACATAAGTGATATTCATCGAAGTCTATAGAGAGCCTTTTTTTTAATTAAAAAAAATGAAAGCTGGTGTCTGCACTTTTCAAATACGAGCTACATGTGTCGCTTTCTATAGAAAACACGCTTTCCAAAGGTATTCACCTGTGGCGGAATGGAATCACGTGACATATTATCTATTCTTAGCAGGTCAACAAGAGGTTAATCCTATGTAAATGTACTCACCGAACAGATTCAAAATCATGATACTTTTAAGTAGAAGACACAGAGCGCATTGTTGTTCAACAAAGATATTTTTACACAATCTGTATAAATATAATATACACATTATATTTTGATGTCGACTTTGAACAAAGCTGCGCTCGATGTTTACAAAAGCCGTAAAGTGGGTACCTGTCACAAATTTCTTTTGATATTCATGAAAATCAAAGGACCCCACGTTCAAAACACAGCTTCGCGTGTACTTTTTTGCAATTATTTGAAATTTTTAAACGTTGGAGCATATACTACAGACATAAGAGAACAATGTAATTTACTTTTTAAGCTTTTTAATGAAAGTTTAAAATTTGACAAGTAACCGGGGACCACAGGTAATGGCTTATTGAGACTTCTTCTTTTAGAGAAATACCCGGTATTAATCCTGAGAATGTAAAATATCAAAATTTCTCAATCACTTTTTAAAAAATTATTCCACACATAATCTACAAGTAATTTAGATCCAACGGAAAACGAAAATTCACAATAAACATAATTTACTCGTAATTTTGATCCAAACGAAAGAAAAAAATCGCAATAACGGAAAACATCCACTCTCCTCGTGCAAAATCATGTAAGTCCATTTTTCGCGTTTTTATATTTTTAAAATCCTTCTCGCTTACGACAGCCAGACGTCTCTTTCACTTCGTTTTTAATGTCGAAATTCAATTAGAAAATAAAAATCCGTGATATCAAAGTCCATCGAAGAATTTTCTGTAAATCCTGATTTTGTAAAACAAACCGGGATTTTTAAGACCCCTGAAATATATTATAATCTATCTCAATCTGCAGATCACAAAAATTACGGTTAAATCCCTCACTTTATCCATTAAGACTGACTATCACTCGATTACGTCTACCCCGTTAAATTATCAAAACTAATCTGACCGAATTTTACGTTTTCCGTAAAAATATATATACTGCGGATGCGTACTCCCCGTTGGGGCCTCATCTACAGAACTCTGAGGGAAGTTTGGATGCTGCAAAGTTATAAAGTGGGCGGAGTTATTTTTGATTGATCGTGTCACAAATCATTTAGAGAACTCGACAGGTTCTGTATCGTAGATACAAATTTGGGGGTGGAGACTCGTGCGGAGCACTCGTCCACCCCCAAATTTGTATCTACGATACAGAACCCGTCTCGTTCTCTAAATAATACTTGTAAAAAAAAATATTCTACATGTATACTAGTTAGTCTAACATTTCCATTCTATAATTTTCCATTTGCATTGTGTATGTGTATCTTTTTTTTTTAATTCTATATTTTCCATACAACGTGATTATATTCTCACGCTTCAATTTTCATACAAGTCGAACAATTTTTGGAGCAAAAATTATTTAAAAAGAACCCCCCCCCCCAAAAAAAAAAAAAAAAAAAAAAAAAAAAAAAAAAAAAAACAAAAAAAAAAAAAAAAAAAAAAAAAAAAAACAAAAAAAAAAAAAAAAAAAAAAAAAACCAGTCTCCCAGTTTGGCCCTGGTTGAATGAGAAACTTGAGAATATATTTCGTTATAGCCTTTTAAAATATTGACCATGATGCGAGTAATTTTGATCATAAGCGGATAATGAACTTTGATGCGACCTTTCAATGCACAATCGCAGTGTACGAAATATTTCTTGTATACTGCTGATGTCAAATGTTGATGTGTATGAACGCGTAAATTAATCTTCAGATACAATATTTTCATTCAGAAACTCGTGCATCTTTTTGATATTAACTTGAGAGTAATAATTGTACATACAATCATCTAATATTTGTTTTTAAATAAAACAATTTTGCAAATGACCAATGACAAGGAAAGTGATTTTTATTATATCACCTACATGTAAGTCACTCAGGTGAAGTTTTGTTATCCATTTTCGTTCGTCTTCATGCGTTGGCTGTTAAGGTAAGACGACACCTTCCTAAAAAATATATAACTTTTCCTAAGAATTTTTCATTGAAGTATAAGTACTTAATTAAGCTTACTCACAAAAATTAGGGTACCTTACCAGGCATTTGGACAAGATAACACAGGGTCATATTTCTAATATAACCCTTATGGGTATTCTTCTGAATGGCCTATATCACCATTTTTGGTGTACTTACATTTAAAAACATTTAGAGAACAATGTAGAAATCAGAAGAGAATGACAAATATGAACAAGAGGCCCAGGGGCCACAGCGCTCACCTGAGCACATCGGCTAGGAAAAAGCACATATCAGATCAGACCTAAAAGTTTACTGAGGTGGGGCGGGGGGGGGGGCTTGAATTTTAACCCCCCGGGGGTTCATGATTTGAACAAACTTGAATCTACACTACCTGAGGATGATTCCATATAAATATCACTAATCATGGCTTTGAATACTTAAAAAGGAGATTTTAAAAGGTTTCCCTATATATCCCTATGTAAAACTTGGGTCAGCAATTTTGGCCCCACCCTGGTCCCGGGGGTCATGATTTGAACAAACTTTAATCTACACTACCTGAGGATAATTTTACATGAGTGCATCTTTCCTGTCTCAATGGTTCTTGAGAAGATTTTTAAAGATTTTCCTATATATTCCTATGTAAAACTTTGATCGGCCATTTTGGCCCCACTCTAGCCCTGGGGGTCATGATTTGAACAAATTTGAATCTACACTACCTGAGGATGATTCCATATGAGTTTCATCTTTCTTGGCCCAGTGGTTCTTTAGAAGAAAACTTATAAAGAGTTTTCCTATATATTCCTATGTAAAACTTGGATCGGCCATTTTGGCCCCACCCTAGCCCCGGGGGTCATGATTTGAACAAACTTGAATCAACACTAGCTGAGGATAATTCCACATGAGTTTCATCTTTCCTGTCTCAATGGTTCTTGAGAAGATGATTTTTAAAGATTTTTCCTATATATTCCTATGTAAAACTTTGATCGGCCATTTGGCC